TTACCAATTCAAATACTTCCTTTACATTGTGATTTCTTTCATTTAATTCTATTATCTCAATTAATTCATTAAAATTAATCTTCTTATAAAATGTGTTCTTCATTCTTTTGATTATTCCATTTGGATTTTCTTTTATTGTTTCTATCTTTTCTCATATTTCTGTGCTTGATCTCCACTTATATTTTAAATATATTCTTAATAATTCTTTACCACATTCATCTCTTGCTGACATTATTCCTATTCCCAATTCATTCATTTTAACATATAATCTACTTTTTGGGATATTTCTACTGTATAATTGGAGGTGAATTAATGATTTTCTTATTTGTTTGTCTATCTTCTCCAATTCTCCTAGTTTATATTTGACAATACTAAATCCATATCTTAATTTTGAGATTATATCACTATTAATCTTTCTTATTGTATTGAGGCTGCTGTATTTCATAGTGTTTAATGATGATAAAATAGAAGATACATCATTTAATATTCTTGTACAATATTTATTAATATTTACTTTATCTCCTATTTCAATACCAAGATATTTATAAGGGTTATCATTAGTTACTCTTGGTAGCTCAGCTAATTCTCCATTTATTTGATTATTAATATTAGTCATTATCCCACTCTTTTCTACATTAATTTTTAATCCTATTCAATTAAATATTTCTTTAGTTAATTTGTTGGCTTTTTCCATTTTATAATATATAAGAGACAAAAAAATATTATAAGAGTAATAATGATTATTGGTATAGAAAGAAAATTAAAAATCCATAATTCTACTATTTGAATTAATTTTTTTTCATTTAATTTTGTGTATTTCCTCTCTTATTTCAATTTTGTTTCAAATTAAATTATGTTGTATTATTGTTGTCGTGTATTAAGTGATGTATATAAATAAAATTAAATATAGTATAAATTATTATTTTAAAGTTACTTACCATAATAAAAAAACAAAAATGTTTTTTGAAGGATTATTGACTAATAGAAGTTATTGAGATTAAATTATAAACTAATCCTTTTTCGTTACTTCTATATGTAAGATACGTTATTGATTACTTGTTATTGAAAATTATTTACGAATCACTCACTTAATACTTTTATTCAAAAAAAATTGAAAAAAAAATATAAAATTAAATACCATTTAATTTTCAACTAAAATTGCATTTTCTTTTGTTTGTTTTACTCCAAAACATTTTTCAACAACAATATCTAATACTTGGGTTTGTTTAAAATATGGTAAATAACCAACAATACAAGTATTAGATATTTCTTCATATACATCTACTTGTTTTCCCCCAATATATACAATTGGTTCATCTCCAAAATTATCTCCAGTAATAGTAAATAATACAGGTTCACTTCCATTATACTTTGTTGGTTGTACTGAGTCAATTTTAACAATGTCATCTGTTCTCATTAAGGCTTTACCAAATTCTTCACTTATTTTGACGTTAGACGTAGTAGCAAATCTAAGGTCACCTAATCCTTCAATCATATTCTTTGATTCTTTTATTTCTGTATCACGAGAACTATCTGCTTTCTTCTTTTTATTTGTTTGTTTTTCTTCTTCTTTAACTCTTTCATTTTCCTCTTCAATTTCTTTACAACGAATAACTCTACTCTTTCTAAACAAAACATTACCAGTGTTTTTCTTTTCTAATGTAATTAGTGGTGAAAGTGATTTTTCTTTTGGCTGTTCTATAGTATTAGATTCTTTAATTGTTGTAGTATCTCCAATACATTTCTCAGTTAATTCCCCTTGACTGTCTTCAGATTTATTAGGAACTTCTTTTGGTTCTGTATCTTTTTTATCTAAATGACTAAATAATACTGTCTCCTCTTCATTATCATCTGCTATTGTATCATTTACGTCGTCAAAACTAGAGTCATCATCACTGATACTCTCATCACATTCAACAATGTCAATTTTATGTTTACTTCCAATAGTTGAAATAATTTTAACCAATTCTTCTTCTTTTTGTGCTTCAATTTGTTGAACTTTCTTTTCTAACTCTTCTTTAGGTTGGTCTGACAGAGAACTTTGTCCGAGTATTTCTTTTGGAATATCGAAGTAAATTATATCACTAGGTAATGGCACTTCCTTGTCTTTATGAAGTAAATGAATATTTAATATCATTTGGTCAGTTATTAAAGGAGGTGCTTTGAAAGTGATAGTATGTCCCTGAGTAGTAAATGGTATATTCATATTATTAATCATTACTTTAATATTTCTTATTGAACTCAGAGTAATACTCAAAGTCCCACCTGTTAATGGTAACATCGTATTAGAAATTCCTATAACTTCTGGTTCAAAGTCTAAAGCTGCATCTATTTCTTGAAGTAAATTTTCATAGCTTTTAACTTCATTTATAGAATTAAATACAACACCTCTTCTAAAGACATTCATAGCTCTTATAACATTAGAAGC